CCACACAACTCTGCTGTCCATATTTTCACTTGAGACAGCAGCAGTCTCCTAAATTACAGATCAAATAGACACTTTTTTGTTCTTCGGATGTTGCTTGACTTCATTTGACACTCTTAATCTTTTTCCTGTTCCTCATTGAAAATCTCAGCTACATAATGCTGAAATCTACACATTCTCCACCTAACCTCTCTTAACGGTTGTTTTTTGTTTGGCTTTTTTTTTTTAATTTTTCTGAGTGCCTCCAAATTGAATCTCAGAATCCTTTAGCATTCAGTACGCTAGGAAGAAATTAATTAGTTGTAATCCATAAAAGAAATTTGCTATCTACACTCCCATTTTAGCCCACTATTTGTCCTTGACACACAGCAATATTTCCTCCTCTTTGTTGGCAGCTATTTGAAGACTTTGCACAGAGAACGTGAAATTTCTACTTGAAAATGCATCAAAAAAGTGATTGGTGAATTTTTTTCTTGCCAACAATAATAAAATTAATGAGAGTGTTGAGGGAAGAGGGAAAATACTTGAAGTTATGTACAATCAGCAAAAGATTCAGGCTGAAGATTTCATCCATGCTTGGAGGCTGTGTTTGTTTTTATGGATGTTTATTTTAATGGAGGTACTGGATTTGTGGACCTGTCATGATTTATAGCTTGAATTACAGACTAGATATACTCAAGTCAGCATAAAAAATTCTTGTTAATTTTAAAATAATTTAAAGTAGTGCAGATACTGTAAATATTTTTTAAATTTTTTTAACTTTTATTTTTGGGTGGAAAAAACTTTTTTGGGGGGGTCCATTCAAGAGCAGTGGAAAGACTCAGGACATGCCTTTGCTACCTGGGGCACTAATACTTTAAATATTTCTATAATTTGCTGGATTAAAAAGGGTAATTCTGTTTAATTACATCAGATCATAAAACAAACAAGTAGCGGTCAAAGAGATAGTATAGCAGGTAGGACGCTTGCCTTGCATGTGGCTGTTCCATGTTCCATCCCTGATACCCCGCCGCATGCAAGACAAACACTCTACCACTGTACTATACCACTGTACAAAGTAACTTCTTCAAATCCCATTTACCCAAGAACTTATTGCCAGGCTCCCTGTGCCCTCTCCCCCCACTTCCCTGCCCCATCCCCAAGACCCTCCTACCTGCCTACTTCAGTCTTAACCAAATGAGAAGGTCGTGGAGACTTAGGGTACTCTAAGGAGAAGTGTAAAATCCATGGTCCTCCCTCTTTTTACACCATTATGTAAGCCCCTTCTTCTATACCAGAGGATATTAGAGATCTTAATTTTAGTTTGTTTTTTTTTTTTTAAGTGAAGCTGATTAGTTTGGTTTCCTTTTAAGATGACCGGCACAAAATTATCTTTGGCTATAATTCTTATAGTGAGTATAAGGGATCAGAGAGACAAGTCAGTAGGCTGAACACATGTTTTGTATGCAATAGCGCAGCGGTAGGGCATTTGCCTGCATGCAGCCGGCCCATCTGAGCCGGGTTCAATTTCTCCTCCCTTTTTGGAGAGCCCAGCAAGCTACCCGAGAGTATCTCACCCACACGGCAAAGCCTGGCAAGCTACCCGTGACATATTCAATATGCCAAACATAGTAACAACAAGTCTCACAATGAGACGTTACTGGACCTGCTCGAGCAAATCAGTGAACAATGGGAGGACAGTGACAGTGATATAGGGAAGTACAATCGAGCTTTGTATATATATTGAGTTCTGCAGTCTTGCTTAACTCACCTATTAGTTTTAAGAGTTTGTTTTGGTTTGATTTGGTCTTTTGGGCTACACCCAGCAGATCTCAGGGCTTATCACTGACTCTGTCCTTAGCAGTCACTCCGGGCTGTGATTCAGGAGACCATATGTAGTGCCAGGGATCAAACTAGGGTTTACCCAAGTGTAAGGCAAGTGCCCTAATCCCTAGATTATCACTTTGACCCAGTTTTCAAAATCTCAGTGAAATTTGAAGGGATTTTCTATTTTTCTCATTATTGGTTGTTATAGTTTGTCCAGGGCTGGAGCGATAGCACAGTGGATAGGGCGTTTGCCTTGCACGCAGCCAACATGGCCAAACCGAGTTCGATTCCTCCGCCCCTCTTGGAGAGCCCGGCAAGCTACCGAGAGTATCTCGCCCACACGGCAAAGCCTGGCAAGCTCCCCGTGACGTATTCTATTATGCCAAACACAGTAACAAATCTCAAAATGTTACTGGGCCGCTCAAGCAAATCGATGAACAACAGGAGGACAGTGATACAGTGACAGTGATAGTTTGTCCAGTACTTTTTTACCTAATGATGTGATAGATTATATTGATTTTTTTTAATACTGAATCAATCCCCCTTGGTGTTGAGCTATTCTTTTTCTGTATTCTGGGGTTCATTTAAATTTCAGGAATCACGGGAACCAAGTTAATCTTACTCATTTTAAGAACCTTTTGAATTAATGCTTTAGTTATTTATTGAGAAGAAATGATGATGATTGTGGAGAACAGGAGAAATTACCATGTCTAAGAAGGATGAAAGAAATAATTAGAATGTGTTAGTGTGTTCATTCTTTAGGAGTCAAGGAACTGCTGAGTCTAGAATATATAGACTTGTCTGCATGGCCTTTTCAGTAGTCTAATGATAGTCTAGTGATGGTAAAATGTGGAGATTGTCCAATGACATGGAGGTTACAGATGAGAGAAAGGGAATAAATTGTAAGAAAATAGATTTTTGCTAAATTTAGGATGAGTGATAATCTAGAAGTAGTAGAAGAAAGAGAACTATCAAGAAAATAGGGGAAAGAAAGCTATCATTTACTGAGATGTCAAGGGCCAAATCTCTGAAAACAGACTCCTCAAGTTGGTTAGTTTTGAATGGGGGGGCCACACTGGCAGTGCTCAAGGCTTACTCCTGACTCTGCATTCAAAAATCACTCTTGGCAGGGCTGGGGGCCCATTTGGTATGCTGGGGATCAAACCAGGGTTAACTGCAAGTAAGACAAGCGCCTTACCTGCTGTACTATCTCCCTGACCCAGACTCCTAGAATTTGAATCCTGACTCTTCCTATTATTGTGTGACCAATGGAAAAGTTACTATTATTGTGTGACCAATGGAAAAGTATTTTAAATTTGTAAATATTAAGACTGGTAGAATAAATTTCACAGAATTGTAAGGATGGCATTAAGAAAGGCATTTAGGGGGCTGGAGCAATAGCACAGCGGGTAGGGCGTTTGCCTTGCATGTGGCCAACCCAGGTTCGATTCCCAGCATCCCATATGGTCCCCTGAGCACTGCCAGGAGTAATTCCTGAGTGCAGAGCCAGGAGTAACCCCTGTGCATTGCCAGGTGTGACCCCAAAAGCAAAAAAAAAAAAAAAGCATTTAGAATGTACATGGTTTATAATAAACTCTCTATTAATATTAGCTACCTTGATTTTTAACAGAATTAGCAAATTATAGCTTATCTTCTCTTTTCACTTAATTTGGTAATATATTTAACTTATCTTCATTAGCTCTGTTATCACAGAACTGGTTTATTGAACTTGCCGATAGATGTTTGTTTTGTTATTGTTATCCCTGGACTTTTAAGTCTTTGTTTTATGTCCTTTGACATATTAAAAGACCCTAATGAAAACACTAAGTCCACTTTGCTGAACACAAAGGTAATCTAAATCTAATTAAGCAATACCTGTTTTGGGCACTTTATGAATACTTAGAGAGAAACCTGTCTCTCCATTGGAGAATCTGTAACAATTAGTGCACTATCCTGACCTATGACCTTTTGGGGGCACTTCCACACACATTTGTTGACAAAATTAATGCATACCTTATAATTAGTAGATTTCACCAGGACAGTAAATTTATTTAGAGATTTGTATCAACTTTGTGCTTAGAGTTAATCTGTGGTTTTAAAGAAAATAGTAGCAAAAAATACCTAGTACTTATTATGTACAAGGGGCAGTTCTAATTGTTGCATAAACTTCTTCCATCCTCTTAACAAGTAGATTTTGTTGTCTCCATTTGACAGATGAGAATATTGAAGCAGATAAATTGTCTAATGTTAACTGTTAAGTGGTAGAGCCAGTATTAGAAAGCCACATCATCTGGCTCTTAATTCTCTTTGTAATTTTTGAAAATCTTAACCACAGGATTTATATAAGGTATTTTTGACATCTTTAAAGCTAACCTTTATTCCCTAGTTCATGGAGTAACTTAGAATTCCTGGTTCACAGCTTCATATTGTAAGTTCAACATACTCATCTATAGAGTGAGCCTAGAAAGTCTTATTGGAGAGAAGTAAATGGAAAATGTTTGCAAGTGTTTATTTGTGCGTACCTGCTGTGTGCTTCACACTATGCCAGATGAATAGAGTTCTGAATTTGTTTTCCCACTTCCTCCGATAAAGTTACCCTTCTCTCAAGCTTAACAACCTACAAATTCCTCCTTAAAATGGCTTTTATTGTATGTTTCTTTATGTGGTACATAAAAGCAAACATTTTATAGCTCAAAGGTGCAATAAAGATACTCAATTTTTTTTAGTTCTGAAGTATGATAAATTAACATTTGGTTTAGTTTCTCAAAATCATTCTTTTCCCCCAGAAGAAAAGAACTTTAAGGTGTAAATAATTATTACTTATAGTCACCACAACTACATTTGTCCATCTTGTCTGAACAAGTTGGTTTGTAATTCATTGCTTTGACTGGACAGTGCTCGTCAACTAGACACTGCTCCAACTTGGGCTATCAAAAGACATTTCATTTCCTTATGCTGTCATTGAAAGCATTTTGACTTTATTATCAAGTGTCTCTGGAGAATAAATATAAGTTAATAAAAGTTATACACATGGATAGATTAATTTTTCCGTCTAGAATTTCCTCTAGGTGCTTTCTAATTCCTGAGTACTCTTTAAAGTGACAGAAGAACTAACCTGTTTATAAATGTAGAAACATTATATACAAGTTTTAATGTGTTCTTAATAATTCCATTTTAATTTTCCTTTTTATTTGTAGTTCAGATCGTCTGATAGAAGAGACAATAAGGTAGGAAAAAATGTTTGTTTCATTTTGTTTTTTTTCTCATAAAAATAAATAGGTAAGATATACCCTATTATTACAGCTAAAGTCAATTCATTCTTCTTAAAGATGAGCATCTTACTAGTTTGCTACATACTTTCCCTGTGTTTTTCCTGTATAAAAGATAGTTGAAGCCGAAAACATTTGTTTCTAGAATTACTAGAATTAGAATTAGCTGTTTCATGTAAGTTAATTTTTCTAATAATTTATAGTAATTTCAGCAGCATGTTTTTATTTTATTGGGAAACAGTCTTAAACTTTGACAAGCAAATGCCTTATTTTTATCAGTTATGTAGATTTGGTTTTTGTTAAAGCAGCTATAGAAAATCTGCAGCAATACATAGTATTATTTGTAATTATATTGAGATACTCTCTTGCTTAGAGTGAGGTACATCGGTCTGTTGGCTTGAAATCCTTGATTCGCTTGGTTTGGTGAATTTTAAAATACTTGACAACAGTAAAAAGTACATTAACGAGATACAAACTTTAGAATTCAGCAGTGTCTCCCAGGAGTGTATTTCCCAGGAGAGGTAGGGTAAAACACCTGGAAACAAATATTTATATTCTTACCATAGCTTGTATTGTGCTCAGGGGCTTTATGTGCTTTATTTAATTTCTTTAAACTCATGATATAAATGTGTACTATCTCCAAAACATCAAGAGATTCAGGTAAGAAACTGGGGGGGGAGAGAGCCAGGTAAATAGTACAAGGGTTAAGTTTTTACCTTGTGTACATCCAGCCCCAGTTCCATCCTTGGCACTGCATATGGTTCTCCTAGCATCACCTCCGCAGCACTGCCAGGCATTCACCAAAACCAAAAACAATTAAAAGAATTTTGCCAGTGGTCACTTATTTATTTATTTATTTATTCCCTTTCATCAGTATATAAAATCATTCACAGTTTACCAGGGATTTTTTTTTACTTAGATTTTTTCATATCCTTTTTCTTTTTATATGCACTTGGACTCCATCACAGGATAGAAATATTTAAGAATTATTGAATCACTCCTATTTTATTAAAGCACGAAAGAAATTAATTAGGAGGCCTTTATACTACTTCCTTTCATTAAAATATGATAATTCTCATAAGTGGAATTTTAGTAAACACAAAACTAGTTATGATTGGGGTCAGAGCGATAGCACAGCAGGTAGGGCGTTTGCCTTGCACGCAGCCGACCCGGGTTCGATCCCCAGCATACCATATGGATATGGTCCCCCAAGCACCACCAGGAGTAATTCCTGAGTGCAGAGCCAGGAGTGACCCCTGAGCATTGCTGGGTGCGACCCAAAAGGGCAAAAAAAAAACTAGTTATGATTTTTATAGACAACTATTATAAAAATTAAATATCAGTTTTCTATATGCAGAATTTTTTCTTTTTCCTCTTGGATGTACATTTTTAAATATGTCACAAGGACTTTACTTTCTAGAACTGCATGGCCCTGCCTTCCCTGGTGGCTCCAAACTGTCAGGTGCCAGACCCACAGTACCAGGTCAACCACCCCGTTTTTTTTTTTGTTTGTTTGTTTTGTTTTTAAAGTGGCGGTTCTAGAGAGGATAGTATAAGAGGTAAAACACCAAACATGTAGCCTGTTCCATCCCCAGGCACCACCAGGGGTCACTCCTGAGCATGAGCCAGGAGTAGCTCCTGAGCACCACAGGACATGGCCACCCGCCACCCCCCTCCCCCCCACAAAATAAAAGTCAAAAATGAAACAGGACCAGGGAGATAGCTCAGTAGAGCGCATGCCCTCATACAGGAGGCCCAGTTTAATCCCTTATCTCTGCGCTGTATTGGCCCCCAACACTGCCAGGAATGACCTCAGGCACTGAACCACTGAACCAAAACCAAATAAATACTTTACCTTAAACGTACACTAAATATAGATCTTAGTCACTTTATTAAAAAGAACTAATATTTCCAATATTTGCAAATTAATTAGCTTTAGTATGACTAGTATTACCTGTTAACAGGGAAAAAATTAAAAGTCTGACGTTAGTTTATAGAACAGGTAAGAAAATTGAAGTTCCAGTAAGCACATCAATGATTTATCCTTTTAAAAGCGTTATATATTATTCGCAGTTTGTGTTTGCCTCTAAGTAGTTGACCCTTGGAAAAAAAACAACAGTCTAGTTTCTGCTCAGCTTGACTCCCAGAGATGGAGGGAGATGGGAAGGCATGTCTAGATATACTTTGTGTGGTACTGGAAATCATGCATATTCAACAAGATAATAGCATAATGTATGATAATAATACCCATTCTCCAAGGAATAGAAAGTGCTCGTGGAAATTATTTTTTAATTTTCTCTATTTACTTCTGAGTCAAAGTGCATAGGAGATGGTGATATTATTCTTAATTAAAAAGAGGCGTATGTATTCAGAGATTGACCTCAGATTTCTCAGGTCAGGCTTGAATTCTGTTACTTTATACAAAACTATAATGCCAGTTGGGAAGGAGGTAAATGTGTTTGAGGGGCGGGGGCAGGCAGCAGCAGGATGAACACTCCCAGCAGTATTTGGGAGCTATGCCCAGCACTGCTTAGGGGCTGCTCCCAGCCCACTTGGGGGCCACACCCAGTGGTTCTAGGGAAGACTAATTGCCAGGGACCCAAACCAGGGCCCCCACATACAATATATGTGCTCCAGACCTTTTAGTGCTCTCCCCAGTCCCTCTAATACCTATTTTAAAACACTGTATAGGGGCCAGCGCAGTAGTACATTACTTGCATGTGACTAACCAGGGTTTGATCCCTGGCATACCGTATGGTCCCCTGAGAACCACCAGGAGTGATTCCTGAGCGCAGAGACAGGAGAAACCGCTGAGCATCACCAGGTGTGCAGCCTCCCTCCAAAAAAGCCCTTGCAATATTTTATATGATCATATTTTAACTGTTTGTTTTTTGTCATATATACTTAAACTGAAATGTTTTGAAGAACTAATGACATAGGTTGTTAATAATGCTTCATCTCGTGCTCTCTCAATTTAGGTGTTTTTTTTTTTAATCAATTTTTGGGCTGCACCCAGTGCTGCTCAAGGACTGACTCCTTGCTTTGCTCTCAGGGATCATTCATGTCAGGGGACCTGGGATGCCAGGGATTGAAGCTGGGTCAGCCACGTGCAAGGCTAGCGCCCTGCCTGCCGTACTATTGCTCCAGCCCCTCTTAGTGTTTGACTCTCATCAGTTCCCTGTTCTTTCCTCACTGAGAGAATGTAATTCTCTACTTCTGTTCCCTCCCCTGCAGTTTGCCATTGGTATTCTGTTCTGTGTTAGAAATGGTCAGAGATTTGAGCTCTGGACACCATCTTTCCAGACTTCTTCGTCTCGCCTCTCCTACTTCTTTTTTCTTTTTGTTTTTGCTTGGCTTACCCCCACCCCCGAGTCCACATCCAGCTGTGCTCAGGGCTCACTTCTAGCTCTCCGTTCAGGGGGGATCGGGGGAGCATCTGGAGTGCTGGAGATCGTATCCAGGGTGACTGTACAAGGCAAGCACCCTAAATCTGGCCCCTACTTTAAAAAAAAATCACAATTTTCAGTTCTACTCAAGAACTTTTTATTTCCTGTTGCTTTTTACAATGTCAGTATCTAAGTACTACTCTGTCTCTGTCATATCTAAAAGGATACTGACCCTCCCCTCTATGGTGCCCTCATAGGAGATGACACTGGAATCAGGGAGACAAAACTTTTAAAGGTAATTCTGGTCATGATTGAAAAAAGATATTAACTGAGAGAGACTTTCTTGTTTTTGTTTTTTGGGTCACACCCAGCGATGCACAGGGGTTACTCCTGGCTCTGCGCTCAGGAATTACTCCTGGTGGTGCTCAGGGGACCATAGGGGATGCTGGGAATCAAACCCGAGTTGGCTATGTACAAGGCAAAAACCCTACCCACTGTGCTACTGCTCCAGCCCCCTTAACTGAGAGACTTTTAAACAACATCAGAGTAGTCCTATGAAGGAGGTAATGCAAAGAATGACTTACTTGCTTTTCTTTTGCTCATTAATGAAACCATAAGCTGGCTTGTCTAAGTTGGAAGCTAACCGTAATGTTGCATATGTATCCTGAAATCTGCTTCATTAGTTCTTCATATATAACTTTGAAACATATTCTTTTCATAAATCGATGGTTGCTTATATTATGAATATTTTGTGGTACAGGTTTGGTTCTATTTTTATTATTATAAAATAACTAACTTCCCTCTCAGTCATTTTTTTCTGAGGCCAGAGAGATACTACAGCAGGTAGGGTACTTGCCTTGCATGCAGCCCACCTGGATTCAATCCCCAGCATCCCATATGGTCCCCCAAGCCCGCCAAAAAGTAATTTTCTGAGTACAGAGCCATGAGTGATCCCAGAGCACTGCTGGGAGTGCCTCCCCGCCCCACACTCCCACATACACACCCCAAAGGAAAAAAAGGTTTTCTGATTCAGGTTATTTTAATAGTTCACCTCTTTGAAAACTATTTTAAGAAGTTTTTGTAATACATGATTGGTCTGTTAATATCTTCACTTTTTACTTGGGGGAAAAAATCATAGGAAATAGTTTACTTGGTTAATCCAAAAAGATATCAGGATATCAGTAGGAGTTCAGGAAAGGGATACTGAGAAGGAACATAGGAAATGTCTCATGTTCATGCATACTGCTTTCTGAGATATTATTGCTCACCTTAGTTTTCTGTTCACTTTTAAAGGTATGATAGATGCATGCAAGATCATCTTTAGTGCCAATTTAACTGTTTTCTTTTTTCTACCCTTACAGTATCGCTATGGCAACAAAAGAAAATATGACTTCCCAGAGAGGAATGTTGAAATCAATTCAGAGCAAAATGAATACTTTGGCCAGTATCCTTTTTAAAATTTGTGGCTTTTTAAATTTTTTTCAAAGATAATGTGTGTGTTTTTTCTTTTCTGTTTTTTTGATGGGTTTCCATTATCCGTAACAGTAGAGACTTAGTAATGACAGAATATGAATATACCCTGCATCCCAACTTAGTGAGAGTTCATACTGTTTCTAAAATATTTCATACCAAAGGTTCAGTAATAGATTTAGGGGAAAACTATAAACGAATTTTCCAATTATTCACATGTTTTAAAAGTTTTTGATATGTTGAAATTCCACAGAATGCATCAGTCTTACCCAGTATTGTGAATTATGTGCTTTTTTTTTTTCAATTTGGAAAACAAGTCCGTAAAAGATGCTTAGAACAGAGAGGAAAGAGACAGCTATAAGGTAGGTTTTAACTGCTGAGAGAGTATTTTCCCGGTAGCTTGTTCCATGCAGCTCAACTTTTTGGTGCATAGGTTCTCTGCTTCTTGGTTACAACCTCTACCTTTTCTCCTTCAGTTTCCCAGTTTGAATTAGAATTACCGATACTTTCCAAGAACTCAATGTGGAAACTGATGAGCATGATGCTTGGAAACATTTTGTTTGCTCTTTGGGAAGTCAGGCCTTTTAAGGGGAAAAATTTTTTCTTCCCAATTACTAAGAGGGGGAGAACCTGTAATTTTCAAAAGTTGATTATCTTCAGGTCTTCATTAATTTAAGGTTATTTTTAGTTTGATGCCTCATTTGCCTAAGAATATTCTAAGGTGTTTTGGTATTTCAGTTTTGGTGTATTTTGTTTCTGCCTTGTCGCCCTAAGTATAAAACCACAGATCTAAAGTCATTTATAATTTATATAAGGTTCTGTCATTTACAAAGTACCAATATATGCATTATCCCTTTTTTTCCATTACTACAATTATTATGATTCCAATAGAGTCTGAGTTCAGTCAAATCAAATAAAATGGGTATGAATCATGATTCTCTAGAATCATGGGCAGGCACCAGCCAAAACCATAATTCAGATTTATTTGGAGTGGAGGGGAGGGTTGTTTAATTCAGATATCTAAAATTCAGAGGTGCGAGTTGACTTAGAGCATGTCTGAATTCAGGAGTCCAGATTTTATTATCAAAAATATTCCTCTCTCTGGAAATGCCATCTTTTATTTCCATTTTTGTGTGTATTGACCTGTTCTCAGGTAGGTTTTCTCATGGTAATAAAGATGACCACATGTTTCAACTCCTCCCAGCTCAGAAATCTCCTTGGGAATAGGCGGTCTTTTCCAGCTGTTGTGCTTGAAGTCCCCAAGAGGACTATTGTCACCGCAGCTTGAGTCACTGCCTATTCCTAAGCCAGGCACCAGCCAAAGAAGGGGAGGGCATATTCCTCACCAAAGGTGAGGCACTGGCCTTCCATATGGCAGTGGTGGCTAACGCCGATTGGAATTCCAAAAACCACATATGTTCAGGCCCCCTTCCCCAAGCGCTGCTGAATGTTCCTCATCCCCCACCCACCCCCCACCCCCCAAATATGCCATTGTAGGGCTGGAACTATAGTACAGCACTTGCCTTACATGTGGATAACTCAGGTTCAATTCCCAGCATCCCATATGTTCCCCAAAGCCCTGCAGGAGTGATTCCTAAGTGCAGGGCCAGGAGTAACCCTTGAGCATTGCCAGCTGTGGACCCTCCTCCAAAAAAATTGTGTCTACAGATTGTCCTTTTTTAAAAAATATAATTTATAAAGCAAAGAATACCTGTTCTACAACTATTCTTGAAACACAGAAAATTCAGTGTAGGAAGAAAAAGTAATCCTGGTTACATACTATGTAGAATGTATAAGAACACAAATAAGTGCACATCTGCAGGAGTCATTTCATTGCAGGCAGTTTAGGGATGGCACTGAGAGCGGGGGTGATCTTCTCAACACTCTGCTGTCCCAAGTGGGTTTGTTAGTGGTTTTCCAACCTTGTTGTGATACTGCTTCTAGCAGAGAGGCTACTCCTGCAGGTGCATCATCAGAAAGTTTCGCTAGGAATGCAGACCAGAGAGCACAGCCATGTGCTTTCATCTTTAGTACATGTGCAAGCAGCAGCATAAAGCTCTGTGTGTGTGTGTGTGTGTGTGTGTGTGTGTGTGTGTGTGTGTGTGTGCGCATGTGTTCATGCGCTGGAACTGCTGTAGCTACCCCCTATGTTTTCGTGTGTGTGTGTGTGTGTGTGTGTGCGTGCATGTGTGCATGTGCTGGAACTGCTGTAGCTACCCCCTATCTTTTCTTGATAAAGATAGCTTTGCTTTGCTTCCCCATATAACACAGCTAGAGCAACTCCCGCTCACTTTCCTACCATATTCTCTGTACTGCTACAAAGTGAAAAATGTAAACAATTTACCAGTGCCTTTTATATAGATCCCAGAGTTGATCCACCAGATACCTGAATCTAAGGGGGATTGATCATGTAGGGAAAAGGTCAAGTGCTTTTTTAATACCAGGGTCAGATACTTTTTTAGTGCCCTTCTGATAAAACTTTCCTGTCTCCTGAGGAAGGCATTTTCAGAGAGAGAGAGGTTTTGGCTACTGGCTGACTCTGCCCCCTGGAGGGCCTGCAGAGATGCCCTGTGCCCAACCGGGCTGGCTCCTAGGCTGCCTTGCAGGCAGTAGTACCTTCAGTTGCTGTCAGTATTTTTGTTTTTCTTTTCCTCTATGATTTTTTTTTCACTGTTCTTGTAGACTGCTGTGTGTTGGAATCAATTTGTTTAGGACATTGAGTAGGGGAGCTTTCTAATTTGGCAGTTTACTGAAGTCTCAGTGTAACTTTCTCTCCCCTTTGCAATGCTGCTTTTTTCTGGACATCACTGATCTCTGTCCTTGTAATTTCTGTGACCTTTCAGTGAAGACGCTCTCACAAGTAATGACCTTAATAAAGATTTCTCAAAGATCGTTTTCCTGCTGTGAACAGCCTAATTCAACGGATCAACCTTAGGAAGCGGCGAGATTCACTCATCCTGGGTGGTGTAATTGGCGTGTGCACCATCCTCTTGCTGCTATATGCATTCCATTGATGGGACAACTCCAGAGACTCGATAACCGCCACTTTCGCACCATGACCTGGAATAAGGAAAAGGAGAAGTTGACGGTCTTGATAATTAGCCTGACCGACAGGATTAATCCGAGACTAATAGCAGTGAACTCTGACATGGTCAGGTTGAGCTGAAGCTGCAGTTTTTCTGTGCTACCTTTTCTAACACATTTCCATCTGGTTTCAGTTATTAAAAAACAAACAAACCATTTTCAGTTGATTTTCCTCCCCAGGAGGTAAGTAAATCAATCAAAAGCAGTTTCGGTGTTTCAGTGATAGTCTTGAGGGCTGTTGACAGGCCAGGTCTTACAGCCCAACTCTTCAGGAAACCAAGTTTCTCTTTATCCAAAGACTGCTTTCCTTTCCAGCCATCACATTGGGTTGTGAGTAAAAGTAGTCCTTGTCCTATTATTTTATCCTTATGAGAATTCACAAGTCGTCTTGTGATAATCTGTGTATAAATTTCTACTCCTCTGCCCCCCATCTCTTGGTTTTCAAAGAAAATTCCATTTTGGGAGTTTTTTTTTTTTTTAAACCGTTCTTTGAGACGCTGACTAGCAAACTTCAGCAGAGTTGAAGTTATCTAAAACAAAAGACAAACACTGCAAGAAAAACATTTTTCTCTTTCTGTTTTGTGTATGTTTGCACACACTGGGGTCAACTGTGTTACTGGATAAATATCAAAAATGAAAGACTTTTTTAAAAATGAATCAGTCATTGTTTTGATTGGGGGGGGCTATTTTTTCCGCTTGGAATAATTACTACTACAGGAAAGTGAAATCTCAATTATACCATGACAAAAGAAACTATTAATGTCTATCAGTGCTCCCAGCTATTGCTCCTCATGTCAGGATTAAAGGAACTGAGGAGGCAGCTACTCAGTTTTCAGTGAAATCTCTTCAATAAACCACATGTAAAGTTGTTAGGGTTCACCCTCCAGATAATGCCATTTGTATATGCTCAGCTATTTATGAGCGAAAGTTTGAGAACTGCTCTGACTGGTGTACCAGAAGTACTGTGTTCTATGAAAGGCTGTTCATTCCAAATCTCCTCCACTTTCCAAACACCCAGAGAATGGTTTCACTGTTGAAGGTGCGTGCAGCAGAATCGGTCTCCATCTGCACCTCTGTTGTTGCCATCCCTGGACAGTGACAAATGTTAAACCTCCCACCAGAATTTGATTCAAGTTTAACCGCTTCTCAGTTCCTATAAATTTATGATCTAAATGAACCATCACCAAAAAGTTTGAAAAATTCCAGCTTCTCCTCGCAAGGAAGACTGTTGTTCATCAGTGAAATTGACTATGGTATTTATAATATTGGCTTCAAACTGTTCTACAGGGAACAAAAAGATTCTAGCATGTAGTTCTTAACTACATAATAGTGTGTCAATACTATATTTCAATGGACTTGATTTCTAGACCCATGGGTAGATTAACCCTTGGTCTGGTACAGAGACTGAGAGGTTTTTCATTCTGGTATCAAAGTTGTATTATGTTCTGGGTCTGGAGGGAATTTGATATTTTTTTTAAACAGGTTTATTTTTCTAAATATGGGTTGATTGATGGAGTTAATTGGGGATGCCCTTAGAAGACAACTTAAGTTTTTCCCAATGTGAACCTTAAAGAATCAGGGAAGTAAGTTAATTTATTAAATTCTCTGTTGAGAGAACAAAACTTCTCTCCCCTGATAGTTTATTATCTTTGATTTTTTTCAAAGATCCTTGATTGGTGGTTGTGCCTCAGCTAGAATATATGGGACTTCGGTTGCTATATAGTTGGCATTTATAAAATCTGAAGTATCATAAATAAAGTTATTTATTTAATTATATTACCAGACTTCTTTACTGGTCTGATTACTTGGTGCATTCGTTAAAGCAGATTGTGTGAGAGTAAAACTAGGCCACAAGCTAACCCAGCTTGTTGCCATTAAGCAAACAGACACTTTGGATGGATGATGAGCATTTCCATTAGAGCTGTGCTTAATTGAAGTAATAGGATTTCGTTGGTTATTTTCTTTATGAAAATTAACTAGTTCTTCTAAGGAAGTTGAAAAGGTTTAGTGTAGATGCTGGTGTCAGGTGAGTCTGACTAGGTTCCCAGTGCTTTAGCCCATAGTGAGGTGGCCCAGGGACAGAAGCGGGTAGCCAGGACAGTGCTTGTCCTTTCCTCTTACAGTTTCTTCTTTTGCAGAAAGAATCACTAAAGCAAAGAAATAGAAGTGTGCCGCTTATGATCCCATGATCACTGATTTGAACTCTTCAGTTTTGTTTCATGTTTTTTAAAGCATCTTGGTTTTCTGCACTTGTTTGCTTGTGAGTTAACGGTATTTGCTTATTTAGAGCCTGTCAGAGCTGGCAAGTTCAAAGTATTCTGTATTTCTGATCCCAGATGTTGCCTCTTGGATGGTATATTCCTCAGTCATTGAATTATATAAATGGATCTTTCCTTTTGGGGCCTTTCTAGTAACAACTTAGAAATCTTCCTTGCACTTGAAACCATGACAACAAAAAGGCAGAAATTACGAAAAGGAGTACTTTTGAGATTTTCTTATGATGTAAGCTTTAACTCTAGTAAAAAATCCTTAATAAATCTGTTGCCCAAATTCAAGCCAAGATATCTAGGTGCTTTGGCCTCTCCAGGCTCCCTACATTCCACTGTAATTTTTAATTTTTAGTATTAATGCTGCTACTGAAGGATTTGTACTATCTGCTTTTTTCCCCTTTACTTTTTCTAATATTAGAAAGTGGCTTTCCTTTTCCACTCTTTCTCTTTTGTACCCATATTAGTTTTATGGAGAATACCTTTTTATATACTGCCCAACACTAGGATCGAAGTTGGGAATTACATCCTGAAATTGGAATAAGTGACAAAAAGATAAGTTCTGAAGGCTTTTTTTCTACCTCAAGACAAATAATATTTATTTGAATTCTTTTCCATTGGATGCTGACTAAATCTGAACAGGGAAAAAAAATGCACGACAGGGGCTGAAGAGATTGTACAGTGGGTAGGGAGTGTGCCTTGCATGAAGCTAACCTAGACTCAATCCCTGGCACCCCAAGAGGTCCCACAAGTCCCACCAGGAATGATTCCTGAGCACTAAGCCAGGTTGAGAACAGTCAGCTGTGGTCCTAAAAAAAAAACAAGAAAGGAAATAAATGTCCTAGCATTTTGATGCAGTGACTCTTGGTCTCTATAGGGTAGATGCACCTTGGTCTTGCATTTTCATTAATTTCTTTTTCGTTGTTAATAATTTCAATCTGATGAAAAAATCTTTAAAGAAATTTGCTCGTTCTTTTGGTTTCTGATACTTCCATGTTTTGTCTTCAATGATGTGGATTTTTGGGAGTTGACCAGCATTACACTGAATTTTTTGACAAATGTAACTAAAAAACAGATTCTTCTAAGAAAATTTAAATGATTGTGTTCTCCTTTTGGGTTAGCCGGGTCTCCAGAAAGATGTGCTTTTCATCATGGTCTTTATAAGCTAAGTCTTATTTCTTTATATACCTACATATCCTTATGGTGTATAGTAGAAAAGAAAGTGGGGTCAGAATATTTTTGGGTTAAGAAGCTGAGACAATGTTGGGCCATGTTTAAGAGGTCCTTCTCATTTTCTTTGTACCTAAGTTCTCACTTTAAAATTATGGTATTTCCACCCAATCCTATCCCTATCCTGTATTAGCTTTTAGAGAGGGAAATCGGAAATCAATTCCAGTCACACTTGATCATGATGGAAGACGTTTCCTCATGAAAAATGCCAATACGGATTTTTTTAAAATCTACTCTAAATGCAGTTTCTAATTTTTGCTTTGAAAATGGCTTCTTGGAACCAGTTTTATTGTACTTGTAAGTTTTGTTCTCATCTAAATGCACATTTCTGACTGTACAGAAGAAACTTTGTTATGTAATTTAATAATAAATTAGAAACCTAAATGGCTGTGCCTATGGTTGTTTGCATTGAAACAGAAACTGTCAAGGCAATTTCATATAACAGTTATGAGATCTTAGATATTCATAAGTTTTTCTCACAATGTCTTTAAAACCCAAAGTGAAACAATATGGGTCTGAAACTCTGTTACCTACCATTCACTAATATTTTAGCCTAAGAAGTGGAGAATCTCATAAAAGTGTAAAAGGCATTATGGGAATGTAAACTTACAGAATTTTGCAAGAAAACAAGTTCTCACCCTTCCTAAATAATGATTTTTAAATCCTTTGTTTCCCATTACCTCTCCCCCAAGTATTAGATTTTGTTTTTCTGAATTCCTTGGTATGGGGCTACACCCAGCAGTGCAAAGATTGCTCCTGGCTTGGTGGTCTGGGGTCGCTTCCAGCATTACTCAGGGGACCAGGTAGTGCTGGGAACAAACTGGGGTCCAACACGTCTGCCTTTTTTCTTTTTAATGGCAAGTGAGGTAAAATTCAAATGCTGTGAAATTCACTTTTTGCTTGTATTTTATGGTGATAGAGAACTAGTAACTTCCTACACCAAAAGCATAAATGTGAACATTGTAACCACATTACTTCAACGACAATAGAAAAAAAAATTTAAAGAAAAAATTCATCTTTTAAGGTGTATTGATTCAGTTAGTTGTATGACCAGCAGCAGTATTTAACATTCAACTGTTTTTATCACCCCAAAATAGAAATTCCAAAGAAATATAGTGCAGGGGTTAAGGTGTTTGACTTACTGGTAGAACTTAACAAGAAAATGACTTCCAATCCCATCCAAAAATGGGGAGAAGAAATGAACAAAAGTTCCTCAAAAAAAATACAAATGGCTAAAAGGCACATGAAAAAAAATGCTCTACATCAATAATCACCAGGGAGATGCAAATCAAAACAAGATATCACACCACAGAGACTGGCACACATCAAGAAGAACAAGAAAAACAAGTGCTGGTGCGGATGCAGGGAGAAAGGTATTCACATTCACTGTTGGTGAGAATGCCAGCTGGTCCCGTCTTTTTGGAAAATAATATGGGCATTCCTCAAAAAACTAGAAATTGAGCTTCCATATGACCCAGGAGTACCATGTTCGGTAGTAGACCCTGAGGGTGCAAAAACACAGCAGAGATGACATCTGCACTTGAATGTTCATTATAGCACTGTTCACAATAGCCAGAATCTGGAAACAACCTCAGTGTCCAACAACGATGACTGGTTAAAGACACTGGTACATCTACACAATGAAATACTGTGCAACTGTTGTTGGGGTGGAGGTATGAAGTCATGAAATTCACTTATAAATGGAGAGTATCATCTGAGTGAAATGAGTCCGATGGAGAGGGACAGATAGAAAATGACTGCACTCATTTGTGGGTTCTAGAAAACATACTATGAGACTTAACACTCAAGGACAGTAGAAAAAAGGACCAGGAGGATTAGTCCGTGGTTGGAAGCCTGGAGGGCAGTTGGAATAGAGAAGGGATCAGTATAGCGGTGATGGAGGCATCACTCTGGATGGGACACGTGATGAAAGTGGGTGAAGGACCAAACATGATGGCCTTTCAGTATCTATTGCAAACCATAATGCCTGAAATGGGGGTGCGGGGGAGGGGGGGGAGAGAAAAGGAGGAAGAGAAGAATAAGAGGAGAGGAGGAGGAGGAAGAAGAAATAATGGAAGGGATACTGGGGACATTGGTGGTAGGTAATGTACCCTGGTAGAGGGATGGGTGATGGAACATTTGTATGACTAAACCCAATCATGCACAATTTGTAACTATCTCACAGTGAAAAGAGTTTGCCTTGCACACTGCTGCCCCCAGTTCAATCCCTGGCACTACATTCAGCCCTGAGCACAGAACCAGGAGTAAACTCTGAACACAACCAAGAGTAAGCTGAGTGTGGTCTCAAAGTAAAACCAAAAAAAACCTAGTCTCCAACAATGACTTCCTTCCTCATGATTGTTTTATATCTTCCACTACCCCTTTCTTTTGGGGGCAGGGTGGTGGTATTAGGTAAGGACAAGTGGGAAGGGCACATACAGCTGTGCTCAGGGTTCCCCCTGACTCTGAACTCAGGGATCAGTCCTGGTAGTGCTCAGAGGACCATATGAGGTGCCAGGGGTTGAATCCAAATCAGCCAAATGCAAGGCAAATACTTAACTCTGCACTATTGCTGTGGCCTGTACTCCTTTCTTGACCACCTGGCTTCCTCCCATCCCTCCCCATCTACTCGCAGGGCCTAAAATACCACCTTTGGCAGGTACTTTGCCTGGTCTCTACCCAGTCAAGGAACAAGGCCAGAAGGATTGAGTAATTTTTCTTTTTCTGTTCATTGAGTAATCTTTTCATAAGCCAAGTGACCACTAAAGCAAGAATTTAAATCTTTTTGCCTTGGGGTCATGCCCAGTGATGCTCAGGGCTTACTCCTGGCTCTGCACTCAGGAATTACTCCTGGTGGTGCTCTGGGGACCATATGGGAGGCTGGGGATCAAAGCTGGGTGGGCTGCATGCAAGGCAAGTGCCCTACCCACTAAACTATATCTCTGATTCCTGATATCTCCCCAACTTCTGCCTAACTCTTCATTCTAGTTTAACCCCTCCAAGTCTGAGAAGTGGCTGAGGCCAACCCCGGTGAGTCCCCTCGGCACAGGCAGGTCCTCAGTCTGTGGCAGCCAGACTAGGCTGGCGCCTGTTTTCTTTCCAGATGAAATGGCTTTGACCGCTCTCTCACTGCACAAGAGCTGAAGCTCTGCCCCGCAGATCTGCTGCCTGGTACCAAGCTGGCTGGAGGATCGCACTGAATGTTTGATCTCAAGGTGTTTCCTTTTGAACTCAAAAGGCTAGAGCAGAGCTCATGCTCAGTACCCTCTGCCCCTGATA